ATCCAAGGCAGATGGACAGACCCCTCCACTGAGGACAGGCCTCTTCACCCGGGGGCAGTCCCAGGACCCAGCCCTGGTGCGGTTAAAGCAACGCCAAGGCCCGTTCTCCCGTTGCCAGAGGCCTGCTCACGTCCGCGGGCCTCAACCCTGGGGCTTCAGCACCAGCCACTCCCCCTGCGGGTCTCCCATCCTGTCTGCGCCTTTAGAAGCGAAGCACAGCTGGCAAAACTGGATTTCCTTAAATTTAAGCTTCTTTGTTTCTTTTGGCGGCCCTGGGTCTTAGTCATGGCTCTTGGGGTCCTCATCGCGGCACGCGAGCTCCGAGTTGCAGCAGGCATGTGGGGTCTAGTTCCCCAGCCAGCGATCGAACCCGGGCTTCCTGCTTTAGGAGAGCAGAGTCTTACCCTGCGGACCACCAGGGAAGTCCCTAGACCGTGGAGTCCTAAAACTCCACACCTCATCCGAGGCCTGTACAGATAGATATACACACACAGATCTGTTCAGATACACACACTCCCAAACATGCTGGCCAAAGACACAGTGGTACACAGAGGTGTGCGGACACATACTCAGGTGTCTAAGGTACAGAGTGACACAGACGCACACTCTCAGGGAGGTACGCAGACATACAGTCGTCTCCATAGAGACGTAGAAAATGTGCACACGAGCCACACACTAATACACGCCGGCTCACACAGGTTCATGCATATTTACAAGTCCAGGTCCACATATGCACAGATATATACAGGTGTCTGAAGACTTACTCATGCACACACGAAGACACCCACACACCCGTGCACATGTGTGCCCCAGGCATCCTTGCACACGCTCCCCGGGCCCCACGGAGGACCACACCCCCAGGAAGTCTCTCTCACTGTCTCTCACCACCCAGGGCTCTCTGCCCTCTGAACACCAGTTTGCAGTCTCACCTCGCCTCATCAAGCTCTGACCCTTCCTAGAGCCCAGCCTGGGATGAAGCTAAGAGCAGGAACGCTGTTCTGTCTCCACGACCCCAGGACCTGAGAAAATGCGAGAAGCGGGGAGACCCGGGGCTGAAGAGCCAGCCCTGGAGCCACCAGGCTGCACACGGCCTGACTTGGGCCCCGAGGCCCTTGGGGAGCGAGGCAGCTCCCTGCTGAGACCGTGGCCCCTCCAGGGAGGGGAGATGGGCAGGGGCAAGAGAGGGGACGCATGATGGAGGGGCAGTGAGGAGGACAGCCTCCCATGAGGACAGGGTCAGGGAGCTGTCTCAGAACAAGCTGGGCCTTGGACTCACCCACAGGTGGCTGAATTAAATTCTGAATCAAAGACACCCATTCCCATCCATTTTAGTTCACAGATTCCTAAAATGTCAGTGTTCACTCTTACCATCTTGTGCTTGACCACATCCAATTTCCTTGATTCATGGACCTAACCTCCCAGGTTCCTACGCAACATTGCTCTTTACAGCGTCGGACTCTACCTTCACCACCAGGCATATCCACAGCTGAGCTGGATTTCCACTTCGGCCCAGCCTCTTTATTATTCTGAAGCTATTCCCCAGTAGCATATTGGGCACCTTTCAACCTGGGGGGCTCTTCTTCTGGTGTCATATATTTTTGCCTCTTCATGCTGTTCGTGGGTTTTCAAGGCAAGAATACTGGAGTGGTTTGTCATTCCCTTCTCCAGTGAACCACATTCTGTCAGAACTCTCTGCCATCACCCGTCCATCTTGGGTGGCCCTACACGGCATGGCTCATAGGTTCATTGAGCCACATGAGGTTACGATCCATGTGATCATTTTGCTTAGCATTCTGTGATTGGAGTCTTCATTCTGGAGTCTTTGGGTTTGTAGTTCTTCCTTCTTCTGTCTACCTTCTGACAGATCAGGATAAGAGGCTTGTGGAACCATCCTGATGGGAGAGACCGGCTGTGGGAAAAACCTGGTCTTGCTCTGGTGGGCAGGGCCATGCTCAGTAAGTTTTTAATCCAATTGTCTTCTATGAAGTCCTACAAGAATTTCTAGGACTAATATGAAAAAAAGACATCCTTTTTGTCACAGAGGACAGGAATGCAAAAGTAGGAAGTCAAGAAACACCTGGAGTAAGAGGCTAATTTGGCCTTGGATACAGAATGAAGCAGGGCAAAGGCTAACAGAGTTTTGCCAAGAGAATGCACTGGTCATAGCAAACACCCTCTTCCAACAACACAAGAGAAGATTCTACACATGGACATCACCAGATGGTCAACACTGAAATCAGATTGATTATATTCTTCGCAACTGAAGATGGAGAAGCTCTATACAGTCAGCAAAAAGCAAGACTTGGAACTGACTGTGGCTCAGATCATGAGCTCCTTATTGTTAAATTCAGACTTAAATTGAAGAATGTAGGGAAAGCCACTAGGCCATTCAGGTATGATCTAAATCAAATCCCTTATGATTATACACTGGAGGTGACAAATAGATTCAAGGGATTCTATCTGGAAGACAGAGTACCTGAAGAACTATAAATAGAAGTTCATAACATTGGACAGGAGGCAGTGACCAAAACCATCACAAAGAAACAGACATTCATTCAAGAAGGCAAAGTGGTTGCCTGAAGAGGCTTTACAAATAGCTGTGAAAAGAAGAGAAGCAAGAGGGAAAGGAGAAAAGGAAAGATATACCCAACTGAATTCAGAGTTCCAGAGAATAGCAAGGAGAGATAAGAAGGCCCTCTTAAATGAACAATGCAAAGAAATAGAGGAAAACAACAGAATGTGAAAGACTACAGATCTCTTCAAGAAAATTGGAGAGATCAAGGGATCATTTCATGTAAAGATGGGCTTAATAAAGGACAGAAACAGCAAGGACCTACCAGAAGCAAATTAAGAAGGTGGCAAGAATACACAGAACTATACAAAAAGATCTTAATGGCCCAAATAATCACGACTCTAGAGCCACTCACCTAGAGCCAGACGTCCTGGAATGTGAAGTCAAATGGGCCTTAGGAAGCATCACTATGAACAAAGTTAGTGAAGGTGATAGAATTCCAGCTGAGTTACATAAAATTCTAAAAGATAATGCTGTTAAAATGCTTCACTCAATTAGCCAACAAATTTGGAAAACTCAGCAGTGGCCACAGAACTGGAAATTGTCAGTTTTCATTGCAGTCCCAAAGAAAGGCAATGCCAAAGAATGCTCAAACCATACAATTATGCTCATTTCATATACTGGCAAGGTAATGCATAAAATCCTTCAAGCTAGTCTTCAGCAGTATGTGAACCGAGAACTTCCAGATGTATAAGCTGGACTCAGGAAAGGCAGAGGAACCAGAGATCAAATTGCCAACATCCTTGGATCATAGAGAAAGCAAGGGAATTCCAGGAAAACATCGACTTTATTGCTAAAGCCTTTAACTGCATGGATCACAATAAACTGAGAAATTCTTAAAGAGATGGGAATACTGGACCACCAGACCTGCTTCCTAAGAAATCTATATGCAGGTCAGGAAGCAGCAGTTAGAACTGGGCATGGAACAATGGATTGATTCAAAATTGGAAAAGCATTATGTCAAGGCTATATTGTCACCCTGCTTATTTAACATATGCAGAGTACATCATGAGAAATGCCAGGCTGGATGAATCACAAGCTGGAATAAAGATTCCCCAGAAAAATATCAATAACCTCAGATATGCAGATGACACCACCCTTAGGGCAGAAATTGAAGAAGAACTAAAGAGCCTCTTAATAAAAATGAAAGAGGAGAGAGAAAAGTTGGCTTAAAGCTCAACATTCAGAAAACTAAAATCATGGCATCCAGTCCCATCACTTTCTACAAAATAGAAGGGGATAAGTGGAAGTGACAGGTCGTCTTTTCTTGGGCCCCAAAATCACTGCAGATGGTGACTGCCACCTCGAAATTAAAACACACGTACTCCTTGGGAGAAAAGCTATGACCAACCTAGATAGCATATTAAAAAGCACTTTGTCACTTTGCTGACAAAGATCGCTATAATCAAAACTATGGTTTTTCCTGTAACCATGTGCAAATGTGAGAGTTGGACTATAAAGAAAGCTGAGCACCAAAGAATTGATGCTTTGAACTGTGGAGTTGGAGAAGACTCTTGAGAGTCCCTTGGACCGCAAGGAGATCCAACCAGTCCATCCTAAAGGAACTCGGTTCTGAATATTCACTGGAAGGACTGATGTTGAAGCTGAAACTCCAATACTTTGGCCACCTGATACCAAGAACTGACTCTTTGGAAAAGACCCTGATGCCGTGAAAGACTGAAGGCAGGAGAAGAAGGGGACGACAGAGGATGAGATGGTTGGATGGCATCACTGACTCAATGGACATGAGTTTGAGTAAACTCCAGGAGTTAGAAAAGGACAGAGTCTGGCGTGCTGCCGTCCATGGGGTCGCAAGGAGTTGGACATGACTGAGCGACTGAAAGCACCAGGCGGGTGGGAGAATGGAAAACAGGGCCAGTCTCTGAGGTGAAAACAGACCAGGGCTGGAAGAGCCAGGTGCTCTGAGAGACCCCGTTCTCCTTGCCCCATCATGTGGGGGCCCCAGGTGTGACCTCATGTCTACTCCCAATTCTCAAATTCGACATATCCCCTGCATTTTGTAAAGCTGCCAATACGCCCTGAAATTGCAGCCTTTATTGAATCCAAACCAAGAGGGCCCCTCAACAGAGGTGTCCTCTCCCAGACCCTGGGCCCACCGCGCGGCCCCCACTCTGCCCCCAGGGGCTGCTGCAGCCAAACCCCCCAGCACCCCCCGCTCCCGCCCCGCTGGCAGCAGTCCCGCTCCAGCTGTTACTTTTCAAAGTCCCGCCGCCCTGCCCGCAAAGCCAGAACGAGGGCTTCCAGGATTTTCCAACCCAGGGGACTCCTCCAAAGTGCGCAGCGAAGAAACCAGTCAGGAGATGCTGTGAGAACGAGGTTTTATGATGCGGGGAGGCTGGGGGGCAAGGGGGCTGACGGAGAGCCCGGGCAGGCAGGACGGGGGGGAGGAGGGTTTCCCATCTCTGGCTTAGTGGGAGCAGATGAAGGGCAGCCGCCTTTTGCATGGAGCTCTTCTCCAGAGACCCCCTGGAGACAGAGCACAGCGATGTCAGTCGCATACCTGTGTGGCCTGTGTCCCCCCACCCCAATGCCCTGTCAGGCACCTCTCAGCTTACCTTTTCCTACCAAGCTGAGGGCCGTATGTCTCCCCATGTCCCAGCTAGCCACGTTCACTGATCGCCTCCCTTGCAGAGGCAGAGTGCTAAGTGCTTCCTATGGACTGTGCTTTCACCCTCACAGTGATTCCATGAGGTCAGGGCTGTCATAACTCCCATTTCACAGATGGGAAAACTGAGGCTCAGGGGACTGATAACCCACCCTGATCTCAGCAGACAAGTGGCAGAGCCAGCTGTGGACCTCGGCCATCTGACCCCAGCCCGCATGGTCTTCCCCCCGATTCTAAACTCCCGCACGTCGGGCAGCCGTGCTGTTGGGAGCTGGGGAATCATCTGTCAGCTGGCCCTAGTTCCCACGTCTTTCCCATGTCCCTCAGCCACACCTCCCATTCCCGAGTGTCCCTCCCGTCTGTCCCACATTCACTCCTTGTCACCGTCCCATCAGAGGAAGGGAAGGAGGCTCGCTGAGTCTGGAGGACACAGAGCCCCCAGCCCCATCCAGGACCCCTCACTGTGGCTCTGAGGATCCCTACTCCTCAGCCTTGCTCACACACAGGGTGGGGTTCTCCAGGAGGGGAGGGTGTGTGAGGGGAGGCGTGTGTGTGCAGCTCACAGGGATGTGTGTGCAAGTCCACCTCCCCCCCTTGTCTGGGCCCCTGGCCCCCTCACCTCTGGTGCACAGGGCCACGCAGTGGCCTCTCCCATTCCTGGGCTGGCCTCCAGCCCAGATTCCAAAATTCCAGCAACTCCCATCAGTCCAGTGAAATCTCCTGCACTGTAACTAGAGAAAAGAGAGAGGCTGGGTCAGAGGGCGGAGGTCCAGGAACACAGAGGCTGGGGCTCCTGAAAGTCCCCTGAGCATCTCTCTGGACACTGTGTCTGTAATCTCCTCTCACCGTGTCACCAGGCTAGGACCCCACCGTGCAGACCCAGCCCCAGGGTTCTCAGGCAATGACGTGGGAGAGCAAGCATCACTTCCAGCTCCCACACACTGGAGGCTTCTCAAACTTCACTGAGCAGACGCATCTCCTAGGGGTCTGCTGGAAATGTGGATTCTGATTCAGGAGGTCTGGGGTGGGGCCCGAGATCCTGTATTTCAGCAAGTGCCAGGTGATGTTGATACTGCTGGTCCTTGAACCACACGTGAGCAGACAATGTAACAGAACTTATTCTGTCACAGTCCCCAAGGTCACTCTGAGAGAAGGACCCACTTAGAGGTGAGGACACTGAAATAAGAGGCCGTCATTCAGCCAGTAACGGGCAGAGCTGGGTCTGAACTCTATCTCCTGCCTCCAGTGATGGGCTGATAGACATGTCACAGCCAGCTTTGGTGGAAGATAAAAGGTAGAGGAAAGAAAGAAACCTGATTTATAACAATTGTCCATTTCTCTGGTGTAAATGCATCCACCGTGGCAGATTTCAAGCTGCAAGCATGAAGCCACTGAACATGGGTGAGGAAGAGAAGTGCTCAGTCATCACCCCTCCTAGGTCAGTACAAGCCAGCTTCAGGTGCCAGGATGAGGCTCAATGGGAGCAGGTGGGCCTTGAGGCAATCAGGCCCACCCACCCTGGGCCTTCCCTGGTGGTCCAGTGGTGAAGAAGCTGCCTGCCCATGCAGGGGCCATGGGTTCGATCCCTGGTCCTGGAAGATCCCATGTGACGCAGAGCACAAACTTGTGCTCCCACTGCTGAGCCAGGGCTCTGGATTCTGTGTGCCCCAACAAGCAAGGCCACCTCAAGAAGAAACCCATAACCCCCAGCGAGAGAGTGCCCCAGACACACCTAGAGAAAACAAGGGTGCAGCCAAACATGAATAAATGAAAAAGGCTATAAAAGATAGAGGATAAACTTCCAAGTATTAAGCCAACCTTTTTTTAAAAGGACAGAAAGAAAGAGATTCCTCCCCCTGGACACTGGCCCCTCACTTACCCGACCTCTGATGAAGCCTCCGATCCAAACCTGCGCTTGGTTGGTCCTTATGGCCAAGTGATAGATGAGAGTGTTGACACTGAAGCTGTGGATGGAGGCGAGGTTACCTCGGTAGCACTTCCTGCATATTCTCTGCAGAGAGAATGGGAGGAGAGAAAATTCACTGTTTTCATGTTAAATGCCTGAGTCTACAGGACAGACCCTACATCCCTTTGCAAATCAGAAATCAGGTATCTGCTGCTCCGCCTGAATCCCATCTCTTGTGCCTTTATGTGGGCTTCCCTGGTGGCTCAGCGGGTCAAGAATCCGCCTGCAGTGCGGGAGACCTGGTTTTGATCCCTGGGTTGGGAAGATCCCCTGCAGAAGGGACTGGCAACCCACTCCAGTATTTTTGCCTGGAAAATTCCATGGACAGAGGACCATAGTAGGCTACAGTCATGGGGTAACAAAGTGTCAGACACGACTGAGCAACTTCACTTTCTTTCTTTCACTTTCTTTTCTGATGCATATTAGGCTAAGAGAACAAGTAGTCTAAATAATAAGAAACAGAACAATGAACCCAATCCCGTCTCTCCATCCCTGGTCCCCGAAGCAGCCTCGGTGCCATATACCTGAGCTCTTTTAAACCTCCGCCGAGTCAGCACAACCCTGTAGCGGCAGCTCTCGCACTCAGGACTGCCCGGAAGTCGCACTGTCTCCTCTTCTTTGGGGCACTGCACGTCCTCATCTAAGTCATCTGGGTCTAACTCTGAGTCCAACTCATCATCATGGGCGCCCTCGGCCTCCTGTGCCTCCGACTCAAGCACCTCACCACTCAGGGCCAGCACTCCTTCCTGCCCCCCTGAGCCTTCCAGATCCTGGCTCAGGTCTGCCTTTGTCTCCGGACCACCCAGATGGGGGGCATCCTTCTCTGCAAAGAAGAAATAACCCGCCTTCAGACAAGGTACCACCTCCCTCCAGGACCATGGACAGCTCTGATGCCTCCACTCTGTCCTCCTAGGGACACCCTCTGGGACCAAAGACCGGGAAGATCCCTTGGGGGTTGGATGAGCCAGAATTCTTGCATCACACATACAATTGCATGAGACCCTGAAGCGGGCTGACACCATGTGCATGTAACTTGGCAGTGAGAGATGTGAGAAGGCCTCGTCTTCACAGTGGGTGTTTTTCCTGGCAAAGGAGCCCTGAGGGAAAGTTCAGGTCACAGCTCTGGGCCCAGGAGAAATCTAACTAGAGATGGGCTGGGGCAACTGAAGTGGGGCTGTGGCCTTGGACCCATAGGAGCAAAAAAGAATGCAGGAAAGGAGAAAGGAGAACAGATTAGAAGGGGAGGGGAGGACTCACCCAGATAGAGAGCAGAAACTGTCCCCAACAGGAGAAGGGGCAGGAGCAGGCAGCCTCTCATGTCCCTGCAGTCTTGTGAGAGACACACAGCTCCACGTTCTCTCCTGGGGACTTCCCTTGTGTCTGCACGGCCCCTGGAACACAGTAGAGAGGCAGTGTTTGCTTACCTGGTAGATTAAAGAGCAAATGAGAGAGCTTCCTTGTCCCCCAGAGAACAGACCCTGAGCTGGAGGATCAGGGGACAAACAGGGGGCCGGGAGCTCAAGTAGAAGAGTCCCTTTCCCTGAGAGTGCCTTGCGGCTCCCGGGACAGCACTCAGCTCAGACCGCCGCCCCAAGAGGAACAGGGGTGCTCACCTTCAGCGCCAGAGTCAGACACACTGGGGAAGAACGGGAGGACAGTGGGCATCATGGTACGGAGGACCGCAGTCCCTGGTGCTTCCCACATAGAGCCTGGGTTCTTCCCAGCCCCGGACCTGTCCTCCCAGGGAAGCCGAGGGAGCACTTACCTCCCGAGAGTCTGAAGCCTCCACTCTCACTGCTTCTGGCTGTTAGCACACAGAAGCTGCCCTTATACTGGGCTTTGGGGAAGTGGGAAGAGGCCAGGAGGATTGCCCCAGGCTCGGGCGGTTGGACAGCGGGGCTGATAAGAGGTTGGCTCAGTCCTCCCACCCTTGAGCCCTGCACTCTGCTGGGACTTCAGGGACCTGCCTCCTGTTTGGAAACACCCTAGTATTCTCCAGAAGCCCCCCATGACTACTGTCCAAACTGAATTTTTATTAGTGCCCCTAAGGATCAGTCTAAATTGTCCTCTTCAGTCCCAGGAGCAGCCTTCCCTGGGTCAGGGTTCTAGCAAATGCCGTGAGGATCCCTGGGAGCAGGGAGACTGGGGGGAGCAGGGGGCAGGCTAAGGGGCAGCTCAGCCCTCCTGAGCACTTGTGTGGACCATGTGTGCAGGCTGCACACATCCCCGATCCTCACCTTCCTAACCTCGGTCCCACAAGAGCGTGCCATTAGCCCGACTCCACAGATGTGAAGAATGAGATTCAGAGAGAGCAGGTGACTTGCCAAGGTTGGGCAGGACATAGGGGAGCTGGGATTACAGAGCCTTTAAGCTCAAAACCATCTCTCCCTGTGTCTCTGTCTCAACCGCTCTTTCCCTTCTTCACACTCTTCATGTTTCTCCCTCTCCTCTCTGCCTATTTCTTTGTCACCTATAGTGTGAAAGATGTATGCTCTTTCCTTTATACTGTGGCTCTCAATCAAGGTTCTCAGCCTTTCCACAATTATTTTGGGAGTCAAGTCATTCTTTGATGGGGGTTGGCGGAGTGGCTGTCCTATGTTTTGTAGAAAGTTTAGCAGCGTTGTCACTCTGATATGTCCCCACACATTTCCATATGTCCTCTAGAAAGCAAAACTGCCTCTGCTGAGGATCACTGACCTAGTTCAGGCCTTGGTGATCAGCCTAAAAGCAAATCTTCTCATAAGGAAGCAACAGCTGGAATTGGAGACCTTCATAGTGATTAATTCCAGTTCTCTGTGGGCCACATTTCCCTTCCAATCCAGGAGCCCCCATGGTCAGCACATGGGGCATCAAGTGAGGCACTCAGCTCAGTTGCAGAGTTTAATGGAACACTAAAGAATTCAGTAGTCAAGATAAATAAACATTTCGTACAGTCTTTCTTAAAAGTCAGAATCAATGCAAAAGTACCATGATGAACAAAATGTCAAGATGTTCATCAATCAAGTTCCAGCCACATTCACTGCAATCCAGCGAGGGGCCAGCAAGTGCTGAGGTTGATTTTGCCAGACATTATGGCCCAGAGCCTGTGGACCCGTCAGGGTGGTACCTCCGCTCTGGGGTATCCTAGCTGGGCAGGATATTTTTGTACCTTGGATTCCAGCACAGTGTTCAGGGCACCAGGGATGGATCACCTAGTCCTTCTTGCCTGGCCTCTGCTCTCCCTGGGGCCCTGCAAATGGAGAAGTGTCTGAGAGGTCACTTCTGGGCTGATTGCAGAGTAACGGTCTCAGCCATTATCTCCTGGGGCTAACGGACCCGACCCTCAGCTTATCTACCTAACTTGGGGGTTTGGGGGATTGGTCAATTCCAGAGAGGGAAAACCTGGTCCCCGGATTTCAAACTGGAGACTTCCCTTGGAGGAGGAGTAGAAGGCCACCCACCCCACTCCCTCATTATTCTCCCAGTCCTGGGCCCAGGCCAAGACACCATTTCAGTCAGCAGTTGGGATGACCAGTAACATTGGCTGGTGTTGGGCTGTTTCATGTAAACGTCCTGTTTCACACATTGGGAAACGGCCTCTCAGAGAGCTGAAATAAGTCGCCCACGACAAGTCAGAGACAGGCCTTCTGGCTCCTTATCCGCCTGCCTGCCCTTGGCCTCCTGCCCTGGATGCCCATCCCTCTGGCCGGCCCCTCCCCTAGGCTGACCCTGGGCAAAGACATTCCCGTGACTTCAGGGACCCCCTCGGCTCTCCAGTGTGAAACTGGACACAGCTTTCTAGGCTTTGCCACGATGCAGGCAGAGTCTTGGTTCCCCAACCAAGGATCGAACCCACACTCCCTGCAGGGGAGGCTCAGAGTCTTAACCATGGGGCTGGAAGTCTGGACATAACATTTCTGAAGCTCCGCCACCATCCCAACACTGTGCTTCATTAAGGCTTTAGCATCCTTATCCTACTTACTTAATCCTTACATTCACCTGAGGGCATTAGACACTGCCGTTTTAGTCGACAGATCCATCAGAGAGGTTAAGTAACTTGCCCAAGTCTACACAGCTAGTTCAAAGGCACATGTCTGACCCTAGTGTCTGACTCCCATGTCCTTGCTGTCTTTGATTCGCTCAATCAAAGTGTTACCCCGATTAGCTAATAGTGCCTACCTTTTCAGCATCCATGAAACCCCACCTACCCAGCTTACTGTTTGCACCTCTGTTCGCAGGGGTTTCAACTCTGCCCCCTGTGTGAAGTCCGTCCAGCCGCACATCATGCAGAAGGCAGTGTGCTCTGATGTAGAATGCAATCACCACTCCAGAGTCAGCCACTCTGATGGGTCTCAATATTCCCATCCACAAACCAAGGCTGATGACAGGAACTACCTCTAATGAGATCCACTCCAGTAGAGCTCTGAGGACAGTATGTGGCATGTGGGCTTCGGGATAGCCTTTGTCAGGAAACCAGGACCCAACGGTCCCCCTAGTCAACCAGTAAGCCCCGAGAGTTGGTTGAGGTCCTGCTCTGTGAATTTCAGGATGATGTAGGGAACTCCAGGGATTCTGTTTTAAGTCACCAGCTGAGTTGCCCAGAGCTTAGTTAGCATCATTTTGCAGGGGGGAAGGAACCGCAAACCCATCTCTGGGGATATAAGGCCGGTCCTCTCATTGTATTTAAGATTTACCTTAGGGAGGTTTAAGATGCATCCTGTCCCCTGCACTGTAGCATAGACTGCACAGGGAATTGTCACAGAGGAAATGCACCATGTGATGGAGCCCACGTCAAGATCCAGACTCTTTCCAGGAGCCCAGATGCCTCCTTGTTGACTTTAACCCCCAAAGGTAGAAGTCACACGTCTGTCACAAACACACCGCCAACAGAAGAGATTAGTGAGGAACAAGCTGAAGTCTCCCTTAGCACAGAGGCTCAGAGCCTGGCAAGTATTTCATGCTTAATAAACAAGAGACTTTGTTACTCTTTATTATGTATTCCAGAACAAAGAGAAGCAATGCCTCCCCAGAACACAAAGTCCCCAAGGAAAAGAGCGAAAACTCTGCACCCAGCACAGAGCTGAACTCATAAGTTGTGTCGGAAAACCTCCGTTATTGAAATCAAGACAACAGCAGTTACAATGGACCTCAGTTTGATTTCTTAATTTTTTCAACTTACTCTGCAAACTTGAGTAAGTAATCTCTCCTATCAGGGCCACAGTCAAAACATTAAGGTTCTTGATTTGCTTCTTAAGACCCTGGGGTGGGGCTTCCCTGGTGACACAGTGGTTAAGACTCCAAGCTTCCAAATCAGGGGCCGGGGTTCCATCTCTGGTCAGTGAATTAGATCCCACTTGCTGCCATGAACAGAGCCTGCGAGACTCAGCTACGGAGCGTGTGAGCTCTAGAGACCAGGGGCCACAGCTAGAAATGCCTTTGAGCTCTAAGGAAGACCCAGCACAGCCAAATCAAATACGTAAAAAATGAAATAATGTTTAAATGAGGTTTTTCCTTTGCCTATAAGACCCTGGGACCTTCTGTATATCTCTGAATTTGAGGAGTTCTGGGGAAAACGCCTTCACGGCATTGACCCCTTACTTTCTGCTCACCGCCCCCACGCCCCAGCAGAGGGAGTTTAGGACGCCCTCCGTCCTCACTTCGGACTGGACTCCATCGGCCCCGGCGTGGTTGGAATCCTGTTTCCCAAGGTGAACACAAGGGTAGAGGACTTGGCACTTCCCTGGGGTGAGAACACAAGGGAAGAGGACTTGGGGCTATCCAGTGCATAAGAATCCACCTTGCAATGCAAGGAAGAGTGATTCAATCCCTGGTCTGAGAGGATCCCACATGCCTTGAGACAATTGAGCCTGTGAGCTGCAACTAGAGAGTTCCCCTCACTTGTTGTGACTTGAGAAAGCCTACATAGAGCAACCAAGACCAGCACAGCTGTAAGCAAATGACTTTTTAAAAAACGGAAAAGGAAAAAAAGGAGAAGACACTGTCCTGCCTCCCCTCCATGTTGTATCACTTGTGATCGTGGCCAGGAAGCAGCCAACACTTCCAGCCACGAAATCCTACTGCCTGAAAGGACATGCTCTGGAGATCCTTGCATCCCTCCATGGGTCACATCCAGATGCTCAGCCTGGGGCACAAACCAGGTCACAACTTCTCTAACCTGGTTCTGTCAAAGGGACAATAGTTACTGATCACACAAGGCCATCCTTGAAGGAGCCTGCCACAGCTAGGGCTTCCCAGGGGGCGCTAGTGGTAAAGAAACCACGTGCCATTCAGGAGACATAAGAGACATGGGTTCAATAGCTGGGTTGGGACGATCCCCTGGAGGAGGCCATGTCAACCCAGTCCAGGATTCCTGCCTGGAGAATCCCATGGATGGCGGAGCCTGACCAGCTACAGTCCATGGGGTCACAGAGAGTTGGATGTGAGGGATGTGCCTTAGCACACGTGCATGCACTCACCATGGCAGGGGGTGCTTTACAGAGGCACAGGAAGCAGAAACAAGTAGCAGATCCTTTTGTGTTCACTGGAGCAGGAAATGACAACCCGCTCCAGTATTCTGGCCTGAGAATTCCGTGGCCAGAGGAACCTGGCAGGCTGCCGTCCATGGGGTCGAAAACAGTCGAACACAACTGAGCGAATTTCACTTTGTGCTTATACTGCAATCATCCTTATGTTCCTGAAGCTGTGTCTGATCATATTTGAGATCTTACACAGAGTTGTACATATTTTAATAGCAGTTCGACTTATGTTGGGTCCCCAGATACAGACCCTGAAACAGGATTTGGGCAAGTAGAGTATTTAGGAGGTGCTGGAATCAGAGGAGGGTTCACACGGGTAAGAGAAGGCAGCCAGTACACTGTGTGTGATAAAGCCACCTTCCTCAGCGGACAGCTGCAAGTTAATCCTGCTGGGAAGCCCTGGGAAGCGGTGCCCAGGACTGCCCCGGAATTCTTCCACTCGAGGAGCACAGGACTCAGTTCTCACACACCCACTCCTGGGAGCTGTGGCCTCTTCCCAGGGCCTTGTTAATATCCAGGCACATTAAGGCAATAGCTGTTTGTGGGAGAAACTGTCCTCAGACATGGAGATGCAAGTACAGTGCATTGAGAGTCCACCTTGAAGACTGGAGACGGGACCGGGGAAGTCCCACCAAACGTTTAGGATCAGGATACATGTGTGGAAGTCCCGCTTAGTCTCTGGCTGTCCGTACGACCTGGGCAGGAAGACGAGCCTGCTTCCTCATCTGTAGGACGGGGTGGTGTCCTGCCCTCCTCTTGTTAGAGCTAGAGGGATGTGTATGTCCCTGGGACGCAGAGAATGTGAGGAGGACCATCGCTGTGGGTCTCCATCTCAGCCGGCCAGCGAGTGTCCAGCATGGTCCAGCCCCTGTTTAAGGGTCGATGCCAGGCAGGCGGCAGGGGCAGCAGGCAGGGACAGGCCAGCACGGCCCACCTGCTTCCCTTCGCCCCAGGCCCCAGCCCCCCTCCTTCCCTCCTGCCTCCTCTGGGGTCACTGGACACCCTTCACTAGCTTGCCATCAGGGCCTGGAATTTGCGTCCCTGGTGGCTGGCCTTCCTTAGGACAGAGGTTGGATGTGTGACCCTGGGCCCCCAAGGGGAAATGGGAGAGGGGGTGACTGTCAGCCACCCTGGGCGGGGTGGGGGGGCACTAGGAAGAGCCAGCCCTCCAGAGGAGGGGCCTCCTGGGTCTCTAGACTCATCTCCACTGTGGTGTGGGGCAGGGAGGGAAAGACCCTCCTGGGGCTGAGTCAGGGAAGAAGAGGCTGAGAGCCCTTCCCGCTGTGTCTTCACAGGAGGCCCTGTGGTCGCTCACTGCGGCTCAGCCTCCTGTTCCACTCTTCCTACCGAGCTGGATCTTCCGGGCAGCCTCCAGCCAGCCCCTCCCATCCCCAACAAAATGCTTTCCTGAAACTGATTTCTTTTCCTTCCAGACATTGATCTTCTCTGCTTAGCCCCACTCAGGAGATTTCTGCCTTGTAAAGATCATGCCTCCCGACCCTACTGTGTTCCATAAAAAGACTGGCAGTTATCACTCTGAAGGAGACTGTAGTGTGGGGTCCATGGCGCCTTCTTACAGACAGAGGAAGGTGCCCACATGTTGTTTCCATAGGACATACCATTACGGGGTACGTGCTTTTCAGGTGCTACCAGTGGCGGATGTGACTGGAGATGGAAGCACAGTTCGATGCTGTGAAGAGCAATATTGCACAGGAAGCTGGAATGTTAGGTCTTTGAATCAAGGCAAATTGGAAAGGGTCAAACAGGAGATGGCAAGAGTGAACATCAACATTTTAGGAATCAGCAAACTAAAATGGACTGGAATGGGTGAATTTAACTCGGATGACCATTATATCTACTACTGCGGGCAGGAATCCCTTAGAAGAAATAGAATCGTCTTCATAGTCAACAAAAAGAGTCCAAAATGCAGTACTTGGATGCAATCTCAAGAATAACAGAAGGATCTCTGCTCGTTTCCAAGTCAAACCATTCAGTATCACTGTAATCCAAGTCTATGCCCCAACCAGTAACGCTGAGGAAGCTGAAGTTGAACGGCTCTATGAAGACCCTCAAGACCTTTTAGAACTAACACCCAAAAAAGATGTCCTTTTCATTACAGGGGACTGGAATGCAAAAGTAGGAAGTCAAGAAACACCTGGATTAACCGGCAAATTTGGCCTTGGAGTACGGAATGAAGCAGAGCAAAGGCCAATAGAGTTTTGCCAAGAGAATCCACTGGTCATAGCAAACACCCTCTTTCAACAACACAAGAGAAGACTCTACAAATGGACATCACCAGATGGTCAACACCGAAATCAGACTGATTATATTCTTTGCAGCCAAAAATGGAGACGCTCTATACAGTCAGCAAAAACAAGACCAGGAGCTGACTGTGGCTCAGATCATGAACTCCTTATCACCAAATTCAGACTTAAATGGAAGAAAGTAGGGAAAACCACTAGACCATTCAGATATAACCTAAATCAAATCCCTTATGATTATATGGTGGAAGTGAGAAATAGAATCAAGGGACTGGATCTGATACACAGAGTGCCTGAAGAACTGTTGACGGAGGTTTGTGATGTTGCACAGGAGACAGGGATCAAGACCATCCCCAAGAAAAAGAAATGCAGAAAGACAAAATGGTTGTCTGAGGAGACCTTACAAATAACTGTGAAAAAAATAGAATCAAAAGGCAAAGGAGAAAAGGAAAGATATACCCATCTGAATGCAGAGTTCCAAAGAATACCAAGGTGAGAGAAGACGGCTTTCGTCTGTCATCAGTGCAAAGAAATACAGGAAAAGAACAGAATGGGAAAGACTAGAGATCTCTTCAAGAAAATTGGGGATACCCAGGGAACATTTCATGCAAAGATGGGCCCAATAAAGGACATAAATGGTAAGGACCTACCAGAAGCAGAAGATATTAAGAAGAGGTGGCAAGAATGCACAGAGGAACTGTACAAAAAAGATCTTCATGACCTAGATAATCACGATGGTATGATCACTCAGCTAGAGCCAGACATCCTAGAATGTGAAGTCAAGTGGGCCTTAGGAAGCATCACTACAAACAAAGCTAGTGGAGGTGATGGAATTCCAGTTGAGCTCTTTAAAATCCTAAAAGATGATGCTGTGAAAGTGCTGCACTCAATATGCCAGCAAGTTTGGAAAACTCAGCAGTGACCACACAACTGGAAAAGGTCAGTTTTCATTCCAATCCCAAAGAAAGGCAATGACAAAGAATGCTCAAACTACCGCACAGTTGCACTCATTTCAGACACTAGGAAATTAATGCTCAAAATTCTCCAAGAACCATGACTGGATTTAGAAAAGGCACCAGAGGAACCAGAGATCAAATTGCCATTATCTGCTGGATCATCACAAAAGCAAGAGAGTTCCAGAAAAACATCTACTTCCGCTTCATTGACTATGCTGAAGCCTTTGTGTGGATCACAAAAAACTGTGGAAGATTCTTCAAGAGATGGGAATGCCAGAGCACCTGACCTGCCTCTTGACTCGTCTGTATGGAGGTCAGGGAGCAACAGTTAGAACTGGACAAGGAGCAACAGTTCAGTTCAGTTCAGTTGCTCAGTCGTGTCCGATTCTTTGCGAACCCAAGGACTGCAACACACCAGGACTCCCTGTCCATCACCAACACCTGGGTCTTACTCAAACCCATGTCCATTGAGTCAGTGATGCCATCCAAGCATCCCATCCTCTGTCATCCCCTTCTCTGCCTGCCCTCAATCTTTCCCAGCAAAGGCTGAACGAGGGCTTCCAGGATTTTCCAACCCAAGGGACTCCTCCAAAGTGTGCAATGAAGAAACCAGTCAGGAGATGCTGTGAGAACGAGGTTTTATGATGCGGGGAGGCTGGGGGGCAAGGGGGCCAAGGGAGAGACTGGGCAGGCCGGGGAGCAAGGAGGCAGGGTTTCCCGTCTCTGGCTTAGTGGGAGCAGATGAACGGCATCTGCCTATTGCACTGAGCTCGTCGCCAGCGACCCCCTGGGGGCAGAGAACACAGCGATGTCAGTTACATGGCTGTGTGGCCTGTGTACCCCACCCCAGTCCCGTGTGCCTCACAGGTCACCTTTTCCTACCAAGCTGAGGGCCGTATGTCTCCCCATGTCCCAGCTAGCCACGTTCACTGATCGCCTCCCTTGCAGAGGCAGAGTGCTAAGTGCTTCCTATGGACTGTGCTTTCATCCTCACAGTGACTCCACGAGGTCAGGGCTGTCATCACTCCCATTTCACAGATGGGAAAACTGAGGCTCAGGAGACTGATAACCCACCCTGATCTCAGCACACAAGTGGCAGAAGCCAGCTGTGGACCTCGGCCATCTGACCCCAGCCCGCATGGTTTTCCCCCCATTCTAAACTCCCGCACATCGGGCAGCCGTGCTGTTGGGAGCTGGGGAATCATCTGTCAGCTGGCCCTAGTTCCCACGTCTTTCCCATGTCCCTCGGCCACACCTCCCATTCCCGAGTGTCCCTCCCGTCTGTCCCACATTTGCTCCTTTTCACTGTCCCATCAGAGGAAGGGAAGGAGGCTCGCTGAGTCTGGAGGACACAGAGCCCCCAGCCGCATCCAGGACCCCTCACTGTGGCTCTGAGGATCCCTATTCCTCAGCCTTGCTCACACACAGGGCGGGGTTCTCTAAGAGGCGAGGGTGTGTGAGGGGAGGCGTGTGTGTGCAGCTCACAGGGACGTGTGTGCAAGTCCACCTCCCCCCCTTGTCTGGGCCCCTGACCTCCTCACCTCTGGTGCACAGGGCTATGCATTGGCCATACCCAAACGCAGGTTGCCAACAAGCCCAGTTTGTAAAATTCCAAGAACTCCCATCAATCCAGCAATAGTTCTTCCACAGACACTAGAGAAGAGAGAGGCTGGGTCAGAGGGCGGAGGTCCAGGAACACAGAGGCTGGGGCTCCTGAAAGTCCCCTGAGCAACTCTCTGGACACTGTCTGTAATCTCCTCTCACTGTGTCACCTGGCTAGGACCCCACCGTGCAGACCCAGCCCCAGGGTTCTCAGGCAATGACGTGGGAGAGCAAGCATCACTTCCAGCTCCCACACACCGGAGTCTTCTCAAACTTCACTGAGCAGACGCATCTCCTAGGGGTCTGCTGGAAATGTGGATTCTGATTCAGGAGGTCTGGGGTGGGGCCTGAGATCCTGTATTTCAACAAGTGCCAGGTGATGTTGATACTGCTGGTGCTTGAACCACACGTGAGCAGCAAATGTAAGAGAACTTATTCTGTCACAGTCCCCAAGGTCACTCTGAGAGAAGGACCCACTTAGAGGTGAGGACACTGAAATAAGAGGCAGTCGTTCGGCCAGTAACGTGCAGAGCTGGGTCTGAACTCTGTATCCTGCCTCCAGTGATGGGCTGATAGACATGTCACAGCCAGCTTTGGTGGAAGATAAAAGGTAGAGGAAAGAAAGAAACCTGATTTATAACAATTGTCCATTTCTCTGGTGTAAATGCATCCACCGTGGCAGATTTCAAGCTGCAAGCATGAAGCCACTGAACATGGGTGAGGAAGAGAAGTGCTCAGTCATCACCCCTCCTAGGTCAGTACAAGCCAGCTTCAGGTGCCAGGATGAGGCTCAATGGGAGCAGGTGGGCCTTGAGGCAATCAGGCCCACCCACCCTGGGCCTTCCCTGGTGGTCCAGTGGTGAAGAAGCTGCCTGCCCATGCAGGGGCCATGGGTTCGATCCCTGGTCCTGGAAGATCCCGTGTGCCGCAGAACACCTACTTGTGCTCCCACTGCTGAGCCAGGGCTCTCGATTCTGTGTGCCCCAACTAGCAAAGCCACCTCAAGAAGAAACCCATATCCCCCAGCGAGAGAGTGCCCAGCCACACCTAGAGAAAGCCTGGGTGCAGCCAAACATGAATAAATGAAAAAGGCTGTAAAAGATAGAGGATAAAATTCCCAAGTATTAAACCAAACTTTTTTATAAAGGACAGAAAGAAAGAGCTTCCTCTCCCTGGATATTGGCCCCTCACTTACCCAACCTCTGATGAAGCCTCCGATCCAAACCTGTGCTTGGTTGGTCGTTATGGCCAAGCGATGGAGGAGAGTGTTGACACTGAAGCTGTGGATGGAGGCGAGGTTACCTCGGTAGCACGTCCTGCAGACTGTCTGCAGAGAGAACAGGCGGGAGAGAAAATTCACTGATTTCTTGTTAAATGTCTGAGTCTCCAGGACAGATCCCACATCTCACATGCCTTTGCAAATCAGAAATCAGGTATCTACTGCTTTATGTGGGCTTTCCTGGTAGCTTGGCTGGTAAAGAATCCTCCTGCAATGCAGGAGACCTGGGTTTGATCCCTGGGCCGGGAAGATCCCCTGCCAAAGGAACTGGCAACCCACTCCAGCATTCTTGCCTGGAAAACTCCACGGACAGAGGACCCTGATAGGCTACTGTCATGGGGTCTCAAAGAGTCAGACACGACTGGGCAACTGCACTTTCTTTCATTCACTTTCTTTTCTGATGCATATTAGGCTAAGAGAACCAGTAGTCTAAATAATAAGAAACAGAACATTGAATCCAATCCTGTCTCTCCATCCCTGGTCCCCGAAGCAGCCTCGGTGCCATATACCTGAGCTCCGTTAAACGTCCTGGGGGTCACCACCATCGTGTAGCGGCAGCTCTCGCACTCAGAACTGCCCTGAAGACGCACTGTTTCCTCTTCCTTGGGGCACTGCACGTCCTTGTCTAAATCATCTGGGTCTAACTCTGAGTCCAACTCCTCATCATGGGCGCCCTCGGCCTCCTGTGCCTCCGACTCAAGCACCTCACCACTCAGGGCCAGCACTCCTTCCTGCCCCCCTGAGCCTTCCAGATCCTGGCTCAGGTCTGCCTTTGTCTCCGGACCACCCAGATGGGGGGCATCCTTCTCTGCAAAGAAGAAATAACCCGCCTTCAGACAAGGTACCACCTCCCTCCAGGACCATGGACAGCTCTGATGCCTCCACTCTGTCCTCCTAGGGACACCCTCTGGGACCAAAGACCGGGAAGATCCCTTGGGGGTTGGATGAGCCAGAATTCTTGCATCACACATACAATTGCATGAGACCCTGAAGCGGGCTGACACCATGTGCGGGTAACTTGGCAGTGAGAGATGTGAGAAGGCCTCGTCTTCACAGTGGGTGTTTTTCCTGGCAAAGGAGCCCTGAGGGAAAGTTCAGGTCACAGCTCTGGGCCCAGGAGAAATCTAACTAGAGATGGGCTGGGGCAACTGAAGTGGGGCTGTGGCCTTGGACCCATAGGAGCAAAAAAGAATGCAGGAAAGAAGAAAGGAGAACAGATGAGAAGGGGAGGGGAGGACTCACCCAGATAGAGAGCAGAAACTGTCCCCAGCAGGAGAAGGGGCAGGAGCAGGCAGCCTCTCATGTCCCTGCAGTCTTGTGAGAGACACACAGCTCCACGTTCTCTCCTGGGGACTTCCCTTGTGTCTGCACGGCCCCTGGAACACAGTAGAGAGGCAGTGTTTGCTTACCTGGTAGATTAAAGAGCAAATGAGAGAGCTTCCTTGTCCCCCAGAGAACAGACCCTGAGCTGGAGGATCAGGGGACAAACAGGGGGCCGGGAGCTCAAGTAGAAGAGTCCCTTTCCCTGAGAGTGCCTTGCGGCTCCCGGGACAGCACTCAGCTCAGACCGCCGCCCCAAGAGGAACAGGGGTGCTCACCTTCAGCGCCAGAGTCAGACACACTGGGGGAGAACAGGAGGACAGTGGGCATCATGGTACGGAGGACCGCAGTCCCTGGTGCTTCCCACATAGAGCCTGGGTTCTTCCCAGCCCCGGACCTGTCCTCCCAGGGAAGCCGAGGGAGCACTTACCTCCCGAGAGTCTGAAGCCTCCACTCTCACTGCTTCTGGCTGTTAGCACACAGAAGCTGCCCTTATACCAGGCTTTGGGGAAGTGGGAAGAGGCCAGGAGGATTGCCCCAGGCTCGGGCGGTTGGACAGCGGGGCTGATAAGAGGTTGGCTCAGTCCTCCCACCCTTGAGCCCTGCACTCTGCTGGGACTTCAGGGACCTGCCTCCCCATGGACATAGATGCCCAAACACCCTAGTATTCTCCAGAAGCCCCCCATGACTACTGTCCAAACTGAATTTTTATTAGTGCCCATACAGGGTCCAGGTCTGAACAATCCTCTTCAGTCCCAGGAGCAGCCTTCCCTGGGTCAGTGTTCCAGCAAATGCCGTGAGGATCCCTAGGAGCAGGGAGACCGGGGAGAGCAGGGGGCAGGCTAAGGGGCAGCTTGGCCCTCCTGAGCACTTTTGTGGACCATGTGTGCAGGCTACATGTGAATCCCATCCCCAAATCCTCATCTTCCTAACATCAGTCCCACGAGAATATGCGATTAGCCCAACTTCACAGATGTGAAGAATGAGATTCAGATAGGGCAGGTGGCTTGCCAAGGTTGTGCAGGACGTGGGGGAGCTGGGATTACTGAGCCTTTAAGGCGCAAAACCTTCTCTCTCTGTGTCTCTGTCTCTCCCCCTCTTTCCGTTCTTCACTCTCCTCATGTTTTTCCCTGTCTTCTCTCTCCATCTCTTTCTCATCTTTAAGATGAAAAATGTATACTCTTTCCTTTATACTGTGGCTCTCAATCAAGCTGCTCAGCTTTGCACAATTATTGCTGAGAGTCCAATCATTCTTTGATGGGAGTTGGCAGAGTGGCTGTCCTATGTTTTGTAGAAAGTTTAGCAGCATTAAGTCACTCTGATATGTCTCCACACATTTCCGAATGTCCTCTAGAAAGCAAAACTGCCTCTGCTGAGGATCACTGACCTAGTTCAGGCCTTGGAGTCCAGCACAGAAGCAAATCTTCTCATAAGGAAGCAACAGCTGGAGTGGAGACCTTCATCCTGAGTCATTCCAGCTCTCTATGGGCCACGCTTCCCTTCCAAGCCACCAGCCCCCAATGTCAGCACAAGGGGCAGCAAATGAGGCACTCAGCTCAGCTGCAGAGTTTAATAGGACACTAAAGAATTCAGTGAAGGGAAGTGAAGTCACTCAGTCCTGTCCAACCCTTTGCGACCCCGTGGACTGTAGCCTACAAGGCTCCTCTGTCCATGGGATTTTCCAGGCAAGAGTACTGGAGTGGGTTTCCATTTCCTTCTCCAAGGGATCTTCCCAACCCAGGGATCGAACCCAGGTCTCCCGCATTACAGGCAAACATTTTACCATCTGAGCCACCAAGGAAGCCCACAAAGAATTCAGTAGTCAAGATAAATAAACATTTCGTACAGTCTTTCTTAAGTCAGAATCAATGCAAAAGTACCGGATTAACAAAATATCAAGATATTCATCAATCAAGTTCCAGCCACATTCACTACAATCCAAGGAGAGGCCAGCAAGGGCTGAGGTTGATTTTGCCAGACATCATGGTCCAAAGCCTGTGGACACATCAGAGTGGTGCCTCCACTCTGGGCTATCCTAGCTGGACAGTATATTTTTGTACCTTGAATTCTATCCCAGTGCTCAGGGCACCAGGGATGGATCACCCAGACCTTCTTGCCTTGCCTCTGCTCTCCCTAGGGCCCTGCAAATAGAGAAGTGTCTGAGAGGTCACTTCTGGGCTGATTGCAGAGTAACAGTCTCAGCCATTATCTCCCAGGGGCAACGGACCTGACCCTCAGATTATCTACCTGACTTGGGGGTTTGGGGGTTGGTCAATTCCAGAGAGGGAAAATCTGGTCCCTGGATTTCCAACTGGACACTTCCCTCGGAGGAGGAGTGGAGGGCCACCCACCCCCATTATTCTCCCAGTCCCGGGCCCAGGCCAAGGACACCATTTCACTCAGCAGTTGGGATGACCAGTAACATCGGCTGGTGTTGGGAACCAGCACCATGATAAGCTTTCAGGGCTGTTTCATGTAAACGTCCTGTTTCATACATTGGGAAACGGCCTCTCAGAGAGCTGAAATAAGTCACCCAGGACCACAATCAGAGACAGGCCTTCTGGCTCCTTATCCGCCTGCCTGCCCTTGGCCTCACTCCCTGGATGCCTATCCCTCTGGCCAGCCCCTCCCCTAGGCTGACCCTGGGCAAAGACATCCCCATGACTTCAGGGACCCCCTCGGTCATCACAGTGATGCCTGTCTTGTGTGAAACTGGACACAGCTTTCTAGGCCTTGCCACGATGCAGGCAGAGTCTTAGTTCCCCAACCAAGGATCGAACCCACACTCCCTGCAGGGGAAGCTCAGAGTCTTAACCCTGGTACTGGAAGTCTGGACATAACATTTCTGAAGCTCCACTACCATCCCAATGCTGTGCTTCATTAAGGTTTTAGCATCCCTATCCTACTTAACTTAATCCTTACATTCACCTGAGGGCATTAGGCACTGCCATTCTAGTCGACAGATCCATCAGAGAGGTTAAGTAACTTGCTCAAGTCCACACAGCTAGTTCGAAGGCGCATGTCTGACAACTAGTGTCTGACTCCCATGTCCTTGCTGTCTTTGATTCGCTCAACTGTGTTACCCCGATTAGCTAATGGTGCCTACCTTTTCAGCATCCATGAAACCCCACCTACCCAGCTTACTGTTTGCATCTCTGTTCGTAGAGCTTTCAACTCTGCCCCCTGTGTGAAGTCCGTCCAGCCGCACATCATGCAGAAGGCAGTGTGCTCTGATGTAGAATGCAATCACCACTCCAGAGTCAGCCACTCTGATGGGTCTCAATATTCCCATCCACAAACCAAGGCTGATGACAGGAACTACCTCTAATGAGATCCACTCCAGTAGAGCTCTGAGGACAGTATGTGGCATGTGGGCTTCGGGATAGCCTTTGTCAGGAAGCCAGGACCCAGTGGACCCCCTAGTCAACCAGTAAGCACCAAGAGTTGGTGGAGGTCCTGCTCTGTGAATTTCAGGATGATGTAGGGAACTCCAGGGATGCTGTTTTAAGACACCAGCTGAGTTTCCCAGAGCTTAGTTAGCATCATTTTGCAGGGGGGAAGGACATGCAAACCCATCTCTGGGGATATAAGGCCAGTCCTCTCATTGTATTTAAGATTTACCTTAGGGAGGTTTAAGATGCATCCTGTCCCCTGCACTGTATCATAGACTGCACAGGGAATTGTCACAGAGGAAATGCACCATGTGATGGAGCCCACATCAAGATCCAGACTCTTTCCAGGAGCCCAGATGCCTCCTTGTTGACGTTAACCCCCAAAGGTAGAAGTCACACGTCTGCCACAAACACACCACCAGCAGAAGAGATTTGTGAGGAACAAGATGAAGTCTACTGTAGCACAAAGGCTCAGAGCCTGGCACGTATTTCAGTTCAGTTCAGTCGCTCAGTCGTGTCCAACTCTTTGTGACCCCATGAACCGCAGCACGCCAGGCCTCCCTGTCCATCACCAACTCCTGGAGTCTACCCAAACCCATGCCCATCGAGTCGGTGATGCCATCCAACCACCTCACCCTCTGTCATCCCCTTCTCCTGCACCCAATCCCTCCCAGCATCAGGGTCTTTTCCAATGAGTCAACTCTTCACATGAGGTGGCCAAAGTATTGGAGTTTCAGCTTCAGCATCAGTCCTTCCAATGAACACCCAGGACTGATCTCCTTTATGATGCACTGGTTCGATCTCCTTGCAGTCCAAGGGACTCTCAAGAGTCTTCTCCAACACCACAGTTCAAAAGCATCAATTTTTCGGCACTCAGCTTTCCTCACAGTCCAACTCTCACATCCATACATGACCACTGGAAGAACCATAGCCTTGACTAGATAGAACTTTGTTGGCAAAGTAATGTCTCTGCATTTTAATATGCTATCTAGGTTGGTCATAACTTTCCTTCCAAGGAGTAAGCATCTTTTAATTTCATGGCTGCAGTCACCATCTGCAGTGATTTTGGAGCGCGAAAAAATAAAAGTCTGACAGTGTTTCCACTGTCTCCCCATCTATTTCCCATGAGGTGATGGGACCTGTTGCCACGATCTTAGTTTTCTGAATGTTAAGCTTTGCTATTTGTATTATTAATCCTTGAATAAAGAGAAGCAATGCTTTCCCACACTAGAACACAAAGTCCCCGAGGACAGAGTGAAAGATCTGCTCCAGCTGTGTCCTCCAGGGACCCAGCACAGGGCTGAACCCATAAGTTGTGTCGGAAGACCACCGTCATTGAAATCAAGACAACAGCAGTTACAGCGGACCTCAGTTTGATTTCTTTCTTTTTTCAATTTACTCTACAAAGTTGACTAAGTAGCCTCTCCTATCAGGGCCACACTCAGAACATTAAGGTTCTTGATTTACTTCTTAAGACCCTGGGGTGGGACTTCCCTGATGATCCATTGGCTAAGACTCCAACCTCCCAAAGCAGGGGCCAGGCTTTCATTCCTGGTCAGGGAATTAGACCCCACTTGCTGCCACAAACAGA